AAAAAAAAAAAAAGAAACCCCTCTTTAAAAGCCCATAGTTCCCATTTATGAAAACTAATCCTCATGATCATCAGTACCACCACTGTCTCCATCAACATTACCCTCATCATCACCACTATCACCACCATCACCACCATCTCCATCACATCACCACTATCATCACCACCATCACCACCACCATCACCACCATCATCACCACCATCACCACCACCACCACCATTACCACCATCTCCATCATCATCATCATGATCATCATGACCACCATCACTGCCATCTCCATCATCATTACCATGATMATCACCACCATCATCACCATCACGACCATCTTCATCATTTCCATCATCATCACCATCACCACCATCTCCATCATCATCACGATGATCATCATCACCATCATCACCACCATCTCCATCATTACCATCATCATCACCATCACCACCACCACCTCCATCATCATCATCATGATCATCATCACCATCATCACTACCATCACCATCATCACCACTATCATCACCCTTACCACCATCATCACCACCATCACCACCATCACCACCATCAACACCATCTCCATCATCATCACGATGATCATCATCACCATCACCACCACCATCAGCACCATCATCACCATCACCACTATTATCTGTCATTATCACCACCACCACCACCATCATCATCATTGCCATGATCCTCATCACCACCACTATCTCCACCTTCATCATGATCATCACCATCTCCATCATCACCATATCACCATCATCACCAACATCACCACCACCATCATCAGTGTTTTCTTTACAATTTTCAATCACATACCAGGTGCTGTGCAGGTGACTTCACAGTCATAAACTCAATGGAACCTATGAAAATCTTACAGGACAGGTACTCCTACTACCCCCATTTACCAAGTAAGAGACTGAGAGTCAGGAAGTCATGTACTCAAGGACATGCTGGTGGCAACTGGCCGCACATGGTTAAGATAGAACTCATGCACACACTTTCATGACTGAAAGTCCTATGTTTCATTCACCCTTCTTTATTCCTGGTGCTATAATTTTCCTACCTTGACAACCCTGTGAAGGTGGTGGTGAATACTATCTGGGGAGTGGGAAATAAGCTTATGGTTTCTGAGATTATTTTTCATTCCTGTTGTAGTCTCTGTCCCCTCTTGCTTTATTTTTCATGCTTCAGACCTGTGGCTGGAGGCATAGCAGCTAACATGCAATCATGAGGCATCCAGCATCCTGAAGGAACCCAGATGGCCCTGAAGAGAGAAGAAAGAGTCTGGCTCTTTATCTACACCGCTGAGCAGCCACAGTGGCCCTGGATGCCAGGTGCTGAGTTGTCAATCAAATCTTGGTTATTTTTGCTTTGTTTATGTTACTATTTTCAGATATTCCAACACATGTTCTGTAATTTCCATGCTGTGTGGTCCTAATTGGGCTATAAAGACAAATCTAGCTCCTTTATGTTTAAGGTAAGAGAATTTATGAGATTTTTCTTAAATTTTGGCTTAGTTTGGGGGCCATAAACTCAAATAACCACAGAGAAAAAAAGAGCTCTCCGAGGCTAAAGGAGGGTGCTTCTGGGTCACCCCATGGGGCCTGGATAAAGCTGTGTGCCCCCAGACAGTCATTTCCYCAGAGAAGTCGTACCTCCTATTTTAATATGAATTCTAATATAACAGTTTCAGACTTTTAAAAGTTGGCCGCTGTCCAAAATCTTTACAGCCAAACACACTATGTGTGTTGGCTGAATGTGACCCAAAGACCTTCAATCTGCAACCTCTGACTCAGACAAAAAGCTAATTTCATGATATTATTTATTTTAGGTCCATAAGAGCAGGAAGGTGTTACCAGAGAGTGGCCTGGAACATTTTGTGTTTGACTTGGAGATCAAGATGCAGCCCAGCAAGCTGAGCAACAGGTCACCCACACTGCCCTCATGTATCCCTGGGGGCTCCCTGGGAACCATGGGGATGGGGCCCTCGTTGGTCCAGCTTTGGCAGCCCCTCTCACCCCTGCCCCACCAGCGACCCCTGACTCTGGTGGCAGGGGCCCCTTGCACTCAACCCTGGCCTGGGACCATGGCCCTGGGAGCAGCTGCCCCTGATGCTACTCCAGGCAGCCATCGAAGTCCTCCCGCCCCAGCCACGGAGTGGGCTTGCAGGGTACCTTCAGGAGGTGGGAAGAGTGAGTGGGGGTACAGGAAGGACAGAGGGAGGGCACCCCAGAGTCCTGGGCCAGCATGTCTGGCCTTGCCTGGTGCCCATGGGGGCTTCCTGGCCCCCAAATTCTTTCTCTTTCTGGTGGAAAGTTGCTAACCTCAGAGGTCAGGGGTGTGTGTGGGTCTGATGTCTTTCCATTGTCACACGTAGTGCAGAGTTTCCAGATATTCAGCCAGCAAGGCAGCAGTCTGTTGGAACGGCCATCTAATGGTCAGTGCAGCAAAGGAATCTGCTTGACGGTGTCCTCAGCCACAGGTCATGGGGCTGGTCCAGGGGATGCAGCAGGGCAACTGGCCTGCTCACCCTCAGGTCTCACGCTCCACTGATGAGCAACCACAGGCAAAGTCTCAGCTCTGGGTGGACCCTCCCCTGGCCTGTCAGCTGCCCTGCTCTGCTGTCCTCACAGGACGCTCGACACTATTCTAAGTTTCCTTTTCTTTTTTCTTAGTTGACAAGTGCAAACATCCCCGCTCACTCACAGGCCACCGAGTGAGGCCTTCACATGGGTCTACCCTGTGGGATGATCAGGGTGCACTCAGGACAAATCTGCCACGTCGCGTGCTTGGCATCTGGGATGGAAATGTTTGACATCTACTGTTGGTGGCAATTTTGCCACATGTAGGACTAGTACAAAGTGTGATGAGATGTTTTGGTGTGTGGAGTGATTGAATAAAGGTGATGAACACATTAGTCACCATACATGAGTATTGTTTGTGTGTTGGTGGAAACACTTGACGTCTACCCTCCCAGCCACCCTGAAGTATGCATTACACTATCACTCACCACAGTTGTCACCTGTTCTGCTGGTATTTAAAGTCTTCAGGGGAACATGCATTTTCTAATCACCCCCCAACTTTCCCCTTTTGTTTATGAGAATGTAGTTCAACAATCTTTTTTTTTTTTTTAGTGTTTTTTAGTTGTCAATGGACCTTTATTTTATTTATTTCTATGTGGTGCTGAGAACCGAACCCAGTGCCTCACCCAAGCCAGGCAAGTGCTTTGCCACTGAGCCCCAGCCCTAGCCCTAGTTCAACAATCTTAAGCGCACACTTTAATTCATTTTGGTGACTGCCCACCATCTCACCACCTTCACCACCGTCACTATCACCAATTGCATCAGGTAATGAGATCGAGCTGGGAGTGGACTTCAGTTGCTCTAAACTCACAAAAAGGAACTATGGACAGAGGTGGCTCTACTGCTTTGCTGGATGGTGACAATCACTTCTCAAAGGTCTATAGATACAGAAGACGTCCCCCCATAGGTTCCCTGGGCCCCTCCAGCCTGGCTCTGTCTCCGCTCCTGACCCGGCAGCTGAGGCAGTGGGTTCCTCTGTTCCTAACTGTTCACACTCATAATCCCTGGCAGTGTCCAGGCTCTTGTGTTGGGCTCCCTTCATGCAGCCCCTGCTTTTGAGATCCCTCCCGGTCACTGTGTCCACCACCGTCCTTTCCTTCAGATGGAGAAGCGGCATCCCTCTGAGCACCTGCACCCTGATCAACCCGGGCTACATGGCCATCCCTCAACTAATCACTGTTATAGAAAAGTCGCAGGCCTTGAGCCAGAGAGGGTTGAGTGGGTCCATCCAAGGCGTGAGCTCTCACATCAGGTTTCTCTGAAGAGGGCCGGGCTGGCAGGGCCAAGCCCCATATCATGTGGACTGCAGGCTCTGATTTCTTGGCAGTGTGCACGGCCATCTCCCTCACCTGCTGGGCACACATTCCAAGCCCCCGAGGGCCTGAACCCACTGATTGTTCCAAACCCCTTATGTTGTATTTTTTCTGCACATACATACCTATTATGTGGACCAACTCATAACTTAGGGACAATAAGTGATCACCAACAAGAGTCAACCAGGACAATTAGAAAATGCACAGTAACAAAAGTTAYGTGAAACGTGTGTGTCATTTATTTCTGGAATTCTCCATCTACGTGGGTAACTGTGGGTAACTGAGGCTGCAGAGAATGGAACCACAGGGCCAGGGACATGGGGCAGGGGGGCCTCTGGTTGGGTTCCCAGTGCCGGAGCTGTTGTTGGCTCCCCTGGAGGTCGAGGAGGCTGAGGACCTGCCCACTTTTGAGCCCCGGGACCACTCTGTGGGTGTTTAGCCTTGCAAACACCAAGCTGCTGCCTGGCCTCCTGGGAGCATTTCTGGAGCTGGAGCCAGACCCGCTCCTGCTCAGACCACACCTCCCACCCGACTCCAAGCTCAGCGGTTTACAGACCTTGTGCTCATGAAGGAGCTGGGGAGAAAGGGGCAGAAGGGAGAGACGCACAGGGCGAAGGGCGAGCTCACAACCCGACCCAGGTGACGGGGAAACTGACCCAAGGAGGGATGTGCAGAGCTGAGTGCCCGAGACTCATGGCTGTCCTCCAGAGGGGATCCTGCCTGCTTCCTGCCTGTGCTGCTCTGGGCTCGCTGCACAGGTGCCTCCTCTGTCTTGGCCACAGGACATCAGCAAGCACGTGGCGCACAGGCTGGATAAGAGCTTGTCCTTCAGGGGCCAGGTGCCATGGTGGAGTCCAGGAAGGGAGCCCAGCCATTCCCCGAGCCAGGCCTGAGATTGGAGCCTCAGGGCCATCCATACAGGCTTGGCTTCCCGGTGGCAGCCACCAGAGTGACCCAGGAGGGAGCAGCCCAAATCCAAGGATTGTAAGTACATGAGTGACAGCTGTTTTGGGTCACTTTGGGGGTGTTTTTCCACGTGGTACTTTATAACCAATACATATTAGCAACAATTAGCAACAATTGAGCATATATATAGTCATCTTTGTCCTTTCTTTCTCTCTGACTGGGGATTGAACACAAGGGTGCTCTACCACAGAGCCACATCCCCAGCTCTTTTAAATTTTATTTTGAGACAGGGTCTCACTAAGTTGCTGAGGCTGGCCTCGAATTTGTTATCGTCCTGCCATAGCCTCCCAGGTCGTTGGGATAACAGGTGTGCACCCAGCACCTTTGTGTGTTTTCTGTTGGCCAGAACATGTACACAGATACTCACATGCATTTATAATGTCATGTGTTTATGATTCACAGCCTACACGACTATAAACACACCCAACCAAAGTCACAAAAAATGCCAAGACTGAGTGCACATGATGCGCGGTCCTACTTTGTCCTCTCTTGTGCCCCCCCCCCCCCGCCACTCCTCTGGTGAACGGTTCCTGAAGCTACCTGCAGCTGACTGCTGGCTCCTAAGTACAGCCTGAGAATTCCCCATCACAGGTTGTGCTGCCAGGGAGAGGTTCAGGGAGGAGCCCAGGGAGTTGCTGCTGAGGTTGGGCGCGGGGTGACAGGCGCCTCCTCTGGAGAGGACCTTGGACGTGGGAGAGGTAGAGAGCCAGCCGCTCTCCTCTCTGCCCTGGTGGTGGCTCTATGGTCCCCAGATCACATCTCTCCGCTAGTGACCCTGAGTCTCCATCTCCTGCCGAGGTCCTTTACCTGTGCACTGGATACACAGCCAGCAGCCACTGGATCCCAGAAGCAGCCCAAACTGCCCAGTTTCCTGAGCCTTTCCATCTGCTCTGCCTTCCTCTTCCTAAGTCAGAAGCCTGGGGAGCTTTACTAAGGCAACTGGCGAACCCATCAAGGGCCCTGCTGTGGTGCGTGTGCCTTGTGAAGTGATAAACAGGACCGTGGACATGCCACCACTCAGTAACCACCATGCGTGTGATGATGACACTGAGGATCCACCCTCCGGGCACCTCCCGGGGCTCAGCCCCACGTAACTACAGCCCAGGACTGTGCAGGAGATGCCCAGCACAGTCCCCTCCATTCTCGGTGGCTCCTTGCTGCTGCCCACCTGAGCTGATCCAGCTCATTCTACCTACCAGACACCCCCGACCCCATGCCACTCTCTGCAACTTCCCAGGTCGGGTCCCCCCAAGGCTCCCCTGGGTCATCACCGGAGCTTCCCTTCTGGTCTCCTCAACTGCAGCTCTGATTTGTCAGTTGCACGGCAACCATGACAGCAAGAAGTCTCCTGGAAAATGGCCAGAGTGGTCACATGGCTCACCGTTGGAACTAGCTCTGATCACCCCAACATCACTCACACAGCAGGAGAACAAGGGCCAAAGACTCGCGGYACGGGCAAGAGGCACCTCACGTTTGTCCAGCCCCCGGTCATGGGTCCAGCTCAGCTCGTGCCTGGTCCTGTCCCTCACGAGTTCCCTGGACGTGCACAAGATCAAATCTCTGCCCACTATGCTACAACGTCACCCCAGATGGCGAAGTCCCCATTCCCCACAGTGGCCTAGGTCTCACCCTCACTGGGAGCAACCACTGGCAGGGCCATGCTGGGCCGGGCCTCTCCCAAGGGCTTCCCAGGAGTTGATTTACCCTTCAACAGCCCCATGAGACAGACGCTGCTGCTGTCCTCACCTTACAGATGGGAAAGGAGCTCAGAGGGGTTGAAGGCTGGCCAGAGATCACACAGCTCCTGAGGGGACACTGCTGATATTCAGACCCAGCCACCTGGCTCCAGGACCCCCTTTGTCAGAGTCAGAATGGAGTCGCCTGTGTCATCGCCAACAAAGCCTTCAATAAAGCCAAGAGTTTCAGGGAGCACCCTCGTGCACACTCGCCTGGGATGGGGCTCTGGGGGTGCTGACCCTCCTGTGCCTGTAGCCAGAATTTTGCCACAGAGTTTGCAGGCTGCAGCTTGCTGTGGGAGCCATGAAGACCACTGGGAAGACACACAAGCTTCACCAGTGGGCTGATGTCTGCCTGCCACGGCCCCCGTGACCAATGCTACTTTTGCTTCAAAACATCTCACGTGCGTTTGATTCTTCTGCCTTTAGAAGCTTCCGTTCTTCAGCCTCCCCAGACAGGACCACCGTCTCCACAGCACGCACACCCCGGACCACAATGCTCTATAACCCGATTAAACTCAGGACCCTGGACCCTTTCCCTCAGTCTCTCTCTCTCTCTCTCTCTCTCTCTCTCTCTCTCTCTCTCTCTCTCTCTCATTTATGTTGAAAGCTCAAATAACATTTTTTTAATTTGCAAATAATTTCATACTCATAGGAAAGTTCCAGTCAGAAGACATAGAAGACCTGTGTGCTTTTGACTGGGATGTGCTTTGGGTTTGTATTTTGCTGCTTTGTTTTGCTTTGTCATTGTCCTCTCTCCCCCTCTGTGTGTGTGTCATATAAACACGTTTCTGAGCCATTTGAGAGTAAATTGCACACATCTTGGTCCTCTCTCCTCAGCCAGGACTTCAGCATAAGGACAAGCTTCTGTAAACACAGGCTCTCACTCTCTTACGTAACCAAGAATAAGGACACTGATTGCATAACCATCACCATGGCACAGTTGTAAATTCAGGAAACAAGACATTTTATTTGAACTTATCTACCCCCCCATCTATATTTTAATTTTGCCAATGGAGCCCATACAGTCTGAATACCCCTGTTCTTCTCGGTTCGAGACCCTGTCTCAGCCTGGGTGTTTCCGGGGTAGCTGTCGGGCTTCCCCTTCAACCTGGGCGCTCTCGGGCCCCCTCTTCTCCCTCGCAGCACTGCCATGCGGGGCTCCTGCTCCCCCACAGCTTCCCAGCGGCAGGTCCCCACTTGGGGCGAGTCTGTGGTTTCCTCATGACGAGACAAGGTTTTGTGTCCCCAGCTGGGTCACTAGAGGGGACTCACCATCCTTCTTAGGCATCACCTTGT